GTTCAACCAGCTCAACTCTGTTCAGTCTCAATTCAGATTCCAACATGTTTGGGTCTTTTAAAAAAATGTGTCAAATGGAGGGTTTGGGTTCGATGAATTTAATATTTTTCCTTAAAACACTCTACTGTCAGAATCTACCCTGATGTCCATCATCTTTGCATCAAGTTCCTTGCCGCAGGCCCCCTTCATTTCTCCTCTGGGTCCACCACCTGCCTGTGTGTTTGCCTGTGGCATTCTCCTGGCCTTCAGCTGTCAGGGCAGACGGCACCCAATGGATCTTGCACATATGTTTGATTCCCAGTGAAGACTGGTTGAGAGAAACCTCTCCCATACCTGTCTCTTCTCTGCACATCCTACATCTGCACCACAGACCAAGTACGCACGTCTAGAATACCAGACACGCCCCCAAGCCACCAGCTCCTAGCCCAGGTGCTGCTCTCCTTCACTGGCCTTCTGCATGCCCTGGCCTCCGTGCTCCTCCCTTCCTTTCTGGCGACTGCACATTCCTCATTTGAGCCCTTGCCTTCAGAGTTGCCCCAGATTTTTTTCCACGTCTTTGAAACCTGTGACTTTTGCTGACCTTTTCTCCGTGGTTGGCTCCAAGGCCTCCTATCACCTGACACCCTCTGTGGTCAAGGGCTTCCCTGTGAACTTCCTCCTCACCTGCTTTTTCCTACATCCCCAGTGTCTCCTGCTGTGGCACCCTGCCTTCGGTGATGGTCAGAAACTGGCCCAGCCTCTTCCTGCCACTTCTGGGGGTTCTGCGTGGCCCCTTCAGGCCTCTTCAGTTCCCTGAGCAGCTCTGGCATTTTGGGGGTGACATGGAATGAAGTCAGCATCCATTTGCTCCCTAGACACAGCAGACTTGGTGCCGAGGGCCTATGAGCTTTGGCAAATGAAATATTTAAAAAAATTGGAAACAAGTATTAGCTCTAGAGTATTAAAAAAAAAAACACCAGAATTGGTGTTACCACGTATAACATGTCAACAAAATTTAACTGTTATTGACTTGATTGAAACTCCATGCATAGTTACATAGAAATTGTATTGAACCTGATGTGAGGGTACTTTTCAGTTTTTGGCATAAAGAGAGATGAGACCTGTGGAACTCACGTGCCCCTGAGTTAAATACCGCCCTCGCCACCATATTTTATCTCTACCCAACTCTCCTTGACAGTGGAATTGAGACTGAGTTTGACATTTATTTGTTGCGCTTCCATAGGGTGAATGTACAGTGAGCTGGGCTCCTGGAACTAAGCCGTGGGTGTTACTCATTTTGAATTTCCAGCGCAGGACGTGGTATGCTGAACTTCACTTGGGAACTTTTCACTGAACTCTCTCTCTCTCTCTCTATATATATATATTTATTTTAAATAAGGAACATTGGGATCCTGCCTGAAGGTCTGTGTTTTCTTTTTACTGAAACACCACAATGTGGTGGTTTTCGAAACCACGCATGTCTATAAACTGACCTCAAATGGCAAAAACCCTTAGCTGAGGTGCTAATAAAAATAATTATTGTGAAGCTTATACAATTGTAGTTTGGAAGACTTTGAATTATATTTGAATATTTCCTGGTATTGGCTTATATGTTATCCACACCTACTGTTTATGTAGAAATCAATTTATTTAAAATATGACTACCATTATGTGATAATAAATAGCTTTGGAGATAGAATAAAGTTTTTCTTGTTAAGCATGGAACTGTTATTTTTTTAAAAAAAAAATTCTATGACTACCATTATGTGATAATAAATAGCTTTGGAGATAGGATAAAGTTTTTCTTGTTAGCATGGAACTGTTATTTAAAAAAAAAAAAAAATTTCTAAGAGAAAGTAGCTAAAGTGCGTTTCCTAATATGATGAAGTGGGCCCTGGTGTAGGAAGGAAACAAATATAAATCATGTTGGCTCGGCAGAAAGAATGAATTTCTAGACCTAAACTGGTGAAAGGATGGCTTAAGGAAGGACACAGTATTTTTATTTGCAATGGTGTGATTACTTTGCACGGTTGCACTTTGGGGAATCCAGCTCCAAGAAATGATACTAAATGTGGAGAAAAATAAATGCTTGATGCGCAAATGTATTTCTTCATGTTTTTTAAAGAATAATAGCCCCAAATGGAAAACATCTAAATATAGTTAAGTAAATATCATGCTCTAATTAGATAAGATTTTTGGAGATAGTGGGCATGAGAAATGTTTATATTATTAAGTGAAAGCAATGGTGAGGCAAAATAGTACAGTTTGATGTACAAACTTGAAAAATGTGCTGAGGAGAGAGAGGAATCAGAACTCTTAAGGACTGTGACATTTTTTCTATTTTTTATTTTTCAATTATGGTTATATTTCATTTTTAGTGAAGTAAATTATTTTAGTTTTGTAAAAAATTAGTTGTAAATTCAGTCACTCGCTCAGTCCACACAAATTTTATTACTTCATATACCAAAAATACATGTATACAGACACATGCCCACCACACACACACATATATATCTATGTGTATGTGTCTATAGACACACACACACACACATACATGTGTATATATACGTATAATTTTTTTTTTTTTGAGACAGGATCTTGCTCTGTCACTTTGGCTGGAGTGCAGTGGTAAAATCTCGGCTCACTACAGCTTTGATCTCTGGGACTCAAGCAATCCTCCCACCTCAGCCTCCTGAATAGCTGGGAGCACAGGTGTGTGCCACCACACCCAGCACATTTTTATATTTTTTTGTAGAGGTGGGGATTTGCCAGGTTGCCCAGGCTGGTCTCGAATTCTTGAGCTCAAGCAGTCCTCCCACCTCAGCCTCCCAAAGTGCTCGGATTACAGGCTTGAGCCACTGCACCTGGCTAACTATATATATTTCAACCAATACATCCACGTTATATCATAAGTGGACATTTTGCTGCCGTGGAGTTGAAGTGAAACAAGGAAGAAACTCTCCTATTATTAATAAACTGGACAAAGCTATGCAGGCACGCACATTGCTCCTAAAGGGCTGCCCTCCCAGGCTGACCTGATACCGTACACCTGCAGGTCTGGCTGAGAGTACTGTTCATGTCAGAACTGGGACAGCGTGCCCGGCAGAGTCCAGACGCATCTCCTAGTGCAGCGGTTGTGGTCAGTGCTTGAGCAGAGAAGGCAAGACTGTGGGGACAGAGACAGGATCCTGCTCAAGACTTCAGGCCCCACTGGATTTGTGAAAAGACCTGTGACCTCTCTGTAAATGTTCCTGTTTTATTCATCTCTAAAATGAGAATAGTACCAGGGTTACTTATTTTGTGGGAATCTTCTGAGGATTAAAGAAATCATGCCCATGAAACTTCAAAGGAAAACCTTGAAGGCCTATCCAAAATGCAGATCCACAAATTACCCTTGGAATTCCATAGGTGGGAAGCTGGGTTTTGGGAATGGGGAGGGACAGGTCTGCTGACAGTATTCAGAGTCCACTGTGGAGACCTTAATTGGCTTAATAAAAGACTGCCCTCTGGTCCACAAAAATGGAATTATTTGACCCATGTAGTTTTTTTTCCCTAGGTTTCAGGTAAAGATAGCCTAGATGAAATAATGCCATATTTCCATTTTTTCTCTAATTTTCCATTTTGGTGGTGGTTTTGTTTTAAATTTATGGTGAAAATGCCAGTGGCTCTTGTGTTATCTAGAAGTGTGCTGTTTAATCTCCAGATATTTAGAGATTTTCCATCTCTGTTTCTCTGACTAATTTCTAGTTTAATTCCATTGTAAAAGGAGGGCATACTTTGTATGACTTTTGTTTTTTTCTTTGTTTTTACATTTAAGGTGTGGTTTGTGGCCTGGACTCTTCCCTTTGAACTAAAGGAATGTGTATTCTGCTGTTGCTGGATGGAATATTCTTTAACAAGTAGATCAAGTTGATTGTTAGTGCTCTTCAGTTCAACTGTGTTTTTATTGATTTTTTTGCCTGCTGAATTTGTCCATTTCTGATAAAGGGGTATTAAAGTCTACAACTTTTAGTGGTATATTTGTCTGTTTCTCCCTGCAGTTTTGTCAGTTTTGCCATATGTATTTTGATGCTCTGTTGTAAGGTATTACGTGTTTAGCATTGTTATGTCTTGGAAAATTGATCCTTTATTATTTTGTGATGGCCCTCTTTGTTGTGATGATTTTTTTCTTGGTTTGAATTCTGCTTTATCTGAAATTAACATAGCCAGTCCAGTTTTCTTTTGATTAGTGTTAGCATGGTATATCTTTTTCCATCCCTTTACTTTTAACATGAATCTTCCTGTTCGAAGTGGATTTCCTGTGGACAACACAACAGGTAGTTGACGCTTGCTATTTTAGCCACCCTGAATATCTGTACCTTTTAACTGGTATATTTAGACCACTCACAATTATACATACTTTTAAAATAGGAAATACTGTGTATTGCTATTTGGAGATTCTTTTTTTCCTTAGTATATTAGGTTACCTTATTCCTTTACAAAGTTACATAGCCAAAGGAACTGCTTTCTAAGTTCTTTAAAATTGGTATGTGTTTTATCTCACCATTCTAAATAAACTATTTTTTCCTGTGGTAATGCCTCTACTATAACAAGCTTCTCATTTTGTGCCTAATTTGGTATCCGGTCGGGTAAATCAATTGGTTCTTTGTGAGCAGTTTAAGCCTAAGACTCAGCTTCATTTTTATGAGTGATATCTTAGAATGAGGAATGATGGCTGAATTAGCCAAATGCCTTTTATCACAATAAGAGAATTTTAAACAATACTCAGTTAATTGATAACCAATGAACCAACGAGGTTGTTCCATAGCTATAATTTAACAAATGTCTCCACTGCTGAAGAGTGTATTTTATTTTACCCCAGAGAAGACAAGTGCAAAATAACTCACTGCAGGGCAACTCTAAAGGGATCCCTGTGTTTCCCAGCGTACAGACTATTAGTATACGATGCATGCAAACAGAGAGGTGCTTTATCGAAGCGGGACAAGACCTCTATTCATAGTAAAGTCAAACAAACCACACATGTGAAAACCTCCACTTATAGTGGCTGCATAAGCTTAACTGCACAGAGCTATACTGCTTTTTGAAATATTAACTTGCCAGTTCAGCAACGGCTAAGAAAACAATCCTAGACTTGGAAATTCAAAGACTGGAGGGATTCCTTTGGAACCCCTTTGTGTACATGTGTGTGAAGAATTGTAGGTAAGTGGGAGGGTCTCTCTTGAGCAGTATTTTGCTGTGATAACTGGTGGGCACAGAGTCTAAATGTTCCTTCATTATGCAGAAGAGGGAGAAAGGATATGGAGAAGGAAGAGCCTCCACTGACTTGGATTTCTGTGTGGATTTCAGAGCAGACCCTACTCTAAGGATTTGCTTCAGTGAGGCTGCAATCCTAAGAAACGCTGTCTTTTTGTGGGATTTTAATTTAGAGCTTGCAATATGTTATACTTATGAGATACAATCCTTGGTGAGGCAAAATAAAAATAGTTGTTTTCTCTCAGTGTATAGCATCTCGTGGGTACTGTATTGAAAGCCTCTAAAAATTTAAAGTTATGAATGCAGAGAGTAAAAAACAACTTTGAAAGGAAGAAAAAATGGAGAATAAAATTCCCTTTATTCTGACGCAATTATCCACAGGTTTTTTTTCAAATTTTAATTCTTCTAGAAAAATTGTATTGTCAGTATAGAACTTAAATGTGTGTTCACAAATGGGATCATGGTGTATAAATATTTTTGTACTGTGACTTTTTATTTGCTGATATATCTTAGACATCTTTTCATGCCAAAACATGAAATATTAACTAAGGTTCAACTTATTCTTCACTCATATAGCTGCATTATTTATTCAACTTTTCTTCTGTTGATGTAAAATAAGTTGTGTATGTAAGTGGATTTTCCATTTTTTGCTGTTGTGAAGATTGCTTCCAGGGTTTTTTTGTTTTTGTTTCATTTTGTTTTAACATACACATGATTTTTTTTTTTTTTTTTTGCCAATGTATCTCTAGAGTAAATACTTAGGACAGCACATGTGGGTCAGAGTTATGTGTGTTTTATATTTTCATCTGTTCCTAAGTCATTTTCCAAAATGACATCTATTTTCCAAAATGACATCAAAATATTGTTGTACTGCTAAGAAATGAACGAGAGCTCCTCTTTCTCCACATTCCACAGTGTTGGGTTTTTATTCAACAGTATCCAGGTTTTTCATCATTGCTGATCTGACAAGTGAAATATGGTATCTTTTTACTTCACGTCTTTAATTAGGAGTAAGTTTCAGTGGGAGCTGAAAACAGCTTTTCAAATGTTTATCAGCCGCTAGTATTTCTCTTTCTGTGAACCTGTTCACATTCTTTACCTGCTTTTCTATTGCAGTGTTTTCTATTGATATTTTTCTGTATAAATTAAAAGTATTAATTCTTCATTACATGTAATGAGAGTAATTATTCCCAGTTTTGTTATTTACTTTTTACTTGTCTTATGTTATTTTTTTCCAAATAGAAATATAATTTTTATGTAGTTAGAACTTTACCACTTCCTTATTTTTGAGGTTTGCTTTAAAGGCCTTTCTCCCTGCTGGGTTATACATATTTTAGTTATTTTTTTCCTCAGGTAAAATTGTAGTTTTACTTCTAGCATTGTTAGGAAACCAGCCTAATCTTTTTTTCCCAGCCTATTTTTTCCCCACCTATAGCTATTTGTCTGAAAACTGCTTAGTGAATAACCCATCTTTCTTCTATTGTTCTGAGACACTACTTAGAAGTATTTAAAGATATCTGCATAGAAGACTTTGTGGAGTCCTGGGTAAGAGCAGAGCTCTGCATCTGGACGTGGGTTGCCACTGACAGCTATCTGACCTGGGCAAATATTTTAACCTGTTTCCTCTTCTGTAAGATGCAGCTCTTTTGCAGTAGCTGTGCTTTTGCCAATATTGTGCATATCACAGCCAAGTTCAGTGACTGTCACATGGTCATCACTTAAAAAAAAAAGAAAAAAACCACACAGTCAGGGTGGAGTGGGCGCTGTCTGTGCTTCTCATTGCCGCTTCCAGGCCATTGCGCCTTCTTCCTCCCTAAAACTTCCCCTGCTCCCTTGAGACATGTGCCATCAGGCTTTACCATCCCTCTTCCTTCTTCTTTGAACCTTCTACAGATACCCTCTCCTTTTGTCCTCCTCCGCATTCATAGATGAGTTTAGCAACGAATTCACCGTCTTCATCTTCCTTCCTGTTACTACTTTAGCCATTTCAACATCTGCATAGCAGGCCATTTCAAAACTGGATCCCTCACTTTCTTCTTTGGCCTCCTCCTTTTAGTCATCCTCTTTGTCTTACATGAACTACCCATTCCTTCAGTAACACCCTGTTCTTCTAAAATCTGGACATCCAGCATCCTGTTCTGAGGTCACCACCCTCTCCGTGCAGCTCTCCCTGCAGCTCCCTTTGCAGCTCCCTGTTCCTCCTCCCTCATTGGTCACTCTTCATTCCTGAACTGTGTCTCTTTGTTTGGACATCCGAGGGCCCCGTGGCTCCATCCTCAGGCCTCTTTTGCTGTCTTTCCCGTCTACATCCCTGCCCAGGTGAGCTCATTTATCCCCCAGTGTTAATGTTAACAGCATGTAGATAGGATGGCCTCTCACTTTGTGTCACCAGACCACCCCCAAGAGCCCGTGCTTGTCGTGGGCACAGCAATCTGCACACCTACCCTAGGGCTTCTGAGGGACACCCGTGTCATGGACAGGGCTGCTCACACGACTGTTCAGGACAAAAGTCTGGAAGCGTCTTTGACTTCTTTCTTTCCCTCCCACCTTCCCTGCCACCCTTCCTTTCTCCCATCAAATCTTTGGGAGGTACCTTCAGAATCTGTCGGGTTTCTGCTGCTCACTGCTTTCACTATTCCTTTAGGCCGAGCCACCTAAGGGAACAGTTCCCTTAGGATCTGGGGCAGCTCGGCCTACGGGAACAGTGAAGGCGGGGAGCGCTTCACTCTCAGTGCTTGTGAGGAGCAGTGAGCATGTTTGTGGAGCATGTTCTTCCTCTGTACATTCTCATGCCCTGCTTGCTCATTTCATCCAGGACTCACTTCAGATATCACGTCTTCAGAGAGGCCTTAAAGACTAAGAAAATAGCACATCCTTTCTTTACCTGGTTGTGTTTTATTGTAGCTGTTATCACTAGCTGATGGCATGTGTATACACACCCCCCCCACACACACACATACATAGATGCATATATACACATGTATACACATACATGCGTCTTTAGATGCATGTGTGTGTGCATATAGAGAAATACTCAGACTGCAAAATTCTAAAGGTTTTGAGTGGTTGTCACTGACTTTTTTTTCTCATAAGCCTTTTTATTGTAGTGATTTCAGCTGCTGCTATTTTGGTGCCTTTATTTAATAAGGAGTCATCTTATATAATCTTTAAAAATCACCAACGGGATCCTTTTCTATATTGATATACACACACTTGGTGAAAGAAATAAATGAATGAAATAATTTCTTTAATATATGTTTTTTTGCATCAGGTTGACTTTCTCAGGTTATTCTGAACCATTGAGTCTTTTGTTCATAATTTGAAGTAGCATCTGTGTTCCCAGAAAGGTGTAAATTAATTAATTGTATTGAAATTACCAGAGAAGCACACTGTTAGGAAATGAGAAGCCTCATCCTGTCCTTCAGTATATCAGAGTTTTTTCAATGACACACGGTAGTGTGTGTGTGTGTGTGTGTGTGTGTGTGTGTGTGTGTGTGTGTGTGAGACCGAGAGCCAGGTGCGGTCTTACAGATTCCTGCATAGTCTGAGCTCCTTGAGAGCAGGAACCACATCTTATTCACCTTGTTATCACGCCTACCTGCTGTCTCAGCACATGGTCAAAGTGCGAGAAAAGGCTGAGGAGTGCATGAACATTTACTACAGATGTTTCTGCTAAAACCCAATACATGCATTCCTGGTGTTCTGTAAAACCTGGTACTGAAAATATGAGGGCTTCTTGAGTATTGAGAGACTGACCACTCAATACCTGTGTGGCTTTGTAACCAGAGTAGTATGAAGAACAAATCTTGATACCTGGGCACACATGCAGCTTGGCTGGAGGCTGTAAGTTAAAAATATGGATGACAAACAAGCAAGTGAAATGCACGGCACTTCATTAGCGCCTGTTTGCTGGTGCTGAGAAAATGCGGATGCCAGTTAGCTGTGTGACCGTGGGCCACTGTCCAGTTGGGGGCAGGAGGCTTTGCAACCTGCCAACAGCCCAGGAGCCACACTGGGCTCCCAGCACACCCCTCTGGGCAGAGAGCTCTGTGGCCAGGCTTTCTTTATAAATGTTTTTATAATGCAGCTGGGAAAGGCTTCATTTGCCAGTGCACCAGCTGAGCAGAGAGCTTTTCTTCCTGCTGGAGGTTATAATTCTGTTTATAAGCTCTCTTACCTGGGAAAAATGGCGGAAGCTTTAGTGAAAGACACTATATTGTCTTTTATTTGAAGGCTCAGAATTTATTGCGAAGTAAAGGCAGAGAATAGATTTGCAACAAAGTGGATACCGTTTTCTGGAATGGGTATCTAGATGCTGCTCAGGACTGAGGAGGAACAGCTTTCTGGAGGTGAGAGGCTTGCTCTGTGCACTGCCGATGATGTTTGGAGGCTGGGTCAGGGCTCTCAGCTGGCGGAGATATTAGCATTAAAGACTTTAGCTTGAGCAGCCTCGTCCTGAGTGTTGCAAAAAATTAGCATCCTCAGACTGCATGTGGGCAATGCTTGCTATTTCAGTAAAGGAGCAGTAACAAGGGAATATCTACCAAAAAGATACGTGGGCCTGTCCACCAGGCTGTGTCTTCTGGTCAGATGGAAACACCGCTCCTCTGATTCTCTGCTTTGAGAAAACTAGGATGGCCCTGCAGAGGCAGAGGGGGAGAGAGAAAGATGCAGTTGAATTTGTTCTTTGCTTCCTGAACAGAAATGCCTAAAGTTAAGCAGAGTTTACATATAGTGTTGCAGTCTTGATGAACAAAAGCTATACTGAGAAAGAGAACATTTGGGAAAACCTGAAGTAATCTTGCCTTC